ATGACAACTGCAACTGTTCCAGTTGAAAGGTTCAGTCTTGTAGTGTTACAAATGGTATAATTAATATGCAAAGAGCAAATTCGAAGTATTTTTAATTCAAACAGTGCGAAACCTCATGTATAAAGATGATAACGATCTTTGAGAAACTAATTTAAGTTACCAATGGACATGAGCAATTTTATTCCATCTTATTTTTTTGTCAGCGTCATCTGAGGCTAGCAAACCAGCTCATGTTTTCGAGGTTTTACCATCAGTCAGATTTTGTGCTAGAGGAGGTTGAATCAACCACCTTGTGAATGTAAACGGCTCGTCACGCAAGTATCTTAAGCAGCATGAAATTATGATATGGCCGCTCATAGACAAGACCAGTGGAACAATGTGACGGTATTGTACCCCACTGTGCTTGTTGTCGATAAATGCTCTTGATATCAGGAAAACTTTTACTTCCTGCACTAAAATAGTTATTCCTTACTGCGTTATTGTTGTGCAGCGTGTTAATTTTGTTGCAGACCATGGTTTCTGTTAAAACTACGAACCTTTATCACCTGCAAACATTGCGAAATGATACTGATGCATCGTCATCACGAAATAGAACTGTTTTTCAGAAATTTGCGAACGTTTAGCCAAGAGAAGAGGATTAATTTCGTCATCTTTATTTCTAATATATGGTATTGTATGAGTTCAGAGTGTCTCAGCACCTAGTCGTACTTTGTATTTCCTTAATTGTCGTCACTATAGTTAGACCGTGAAATTTGGCTGTGTCCATAAAAGATAATTTAGTGAAGGGAAGTGTTAAGATATATAGCGTCATTAAATTTGTTTACAAGTGCATACACGTTTTGGTAGAAGGCATTTAGGCAGCACTCATTGACTCTCGTTAGGGTCATTGGCTCTAAGCCTCCAAAAAATTGGAAGAAGTTGGAAGAAGAAAAAATAATGATTTTGACTTATGTACTCTCGTTGATCTTTCATTTACAGAATCTGGTCTGAGTTCCAAATGCCGACGGTAGAGGAGTTTTTCTTCTGTAGCTCTAGCGTTGCAATGGCGTTGATGGTATTTGGTAAGATTGTGTATCTGAAGTGATCCTTTTCGACCAACCAGTCTCCAATGAGTGTGAGTTTCATCACCACGTCCTTGGTGTCGCTTAACAGGTTGAAATTCTACACATAATCGAAATTTATACGACTTGTGGCAAGGTTCCTAGAGCTACGTCTTCGCTTTGTGTCAGATCATATTCTGCTTCACGGACGTGCTTTTTTGTCATAATTCTCGGCATGTCAACAAGATCAGAGAAAGATGTGCGTCGTCGCTTCTGAATGTTTTATGTCGATTCTGATTTTGGATTAGATCGTCAGAGTATAGGTCGGATTCACGTTGTGGCTGCAAGGCGGAAGTCATTGTTCGTCTTGAATCTACCGCCCTACCGTTTCGCTATACATCATCCCATTTTGAAGCATTTTATCGCGCGAGATATTTCGGCTGTTGTTACCATCTTTCTGACATGTTTTTGAACACACACGCAAAATCATAGAATTTCAACCAATTTGATACTTTTCCGAAACTTCACGCAACCTGACGCACTAGTCCACCAAATAATGCTGTTGCAATTCAGGGCTTTTAGAACATCGTATCGAATTTCTTCTCCCTTTACAGATTTGCCATTTTTTCTGCAGTTCAACAGCAGTTATTCAGACACTGTTTTCCGACTCGAAATGCAGTTTGAGACTATCGTCAAGATCTGAAGAGACTAGATTTAGAGACAGTAAAAATTATGCAGTTTGGAATACCTTATTGCTGCATGGTTCACATTATTGATCACCAGACTGCCAATAATAGGTTTGAAATAGATTATTACTGCGTTTCTTGGAAACTCTTGTTTTTGACATTGCTGCATTGTCGTGCAAAGCTAGATTGTACGATCGCTCCATGAGCTTCCCCTGGTTGTACATTCATCGCTTTTTCTCCGTTTTGTATTTCAGACGGCTCTGATTAGCGCCGGGAACATCTTTCATCCTATTCACTGCTGTTGACTGTTCGACAGTGGAGGCACCCTAGTATACTCAAATGATATGATAGTCTCTTTCCTTTAGTCCAGGGGTACCTGAATTTCAATTCTGGAAGATTGCATTTCTCGATAGAGTTTCTGCTGTGCTTCCATTACAGTGAATTCGCTAAATAAACAGTTATGAAGTTGTTCGGATATTATATACTTCTTATCATGAATGATTTCCGTTTCCAAAGGGTGCTATATCCATGTTCATGGTTTTATGAAGACGTTATATGGAGTCATATTTATCCTTATGTCAGTGCTTTCTATGGATTCGAAGTATTTTCTATTTCGACACTGCAGAAATCTCTTCTGCCTACCAGTGATAAGATTCTAGCATCATTTTATTCGTTTTGTTTAATTTATTCCTCTACATGGTCTGCTCACTGAAAGCTGTAACATAGTCATGAGAGACGGAGTGGCACAGTGGGATAATTGTTTGCTTTGCACTTTAAGAGCAACGAGTTCAGATCTCACGCGTGCCGTAAGTTTTCATCTAAGTAACTACTTATTCCCTTGAGCGAGGAATTCACCCTTGTTTACACAGCGCGATCAGCTGGAAAATGGGAAGCATATCTTTGACCCGCGAATAATAAATAGAGCACGGCATTCGTATGGTCATGCCAAAGCTTTCAGGACGTACGGCCATGATGTTCGATGCTTGTTCCTTCCAGCTGCGGTTGACGCCGCCACCTGCGTCTGACTAAAAATCAACAAATGGTGTAGACGCAATTTTAAATTTGGTAGTCACAAGACTAGTAATGAAATTTGACGATCTGACAGAGCTGTGTTCTCCCGGTGCTAGACTAATTGCATACACTTTCAGAAATATCGATGAACTACAGGAGGTAAACCAGCGTCTTATGTCGACGTTGAAGGAGGAAGAGGCGAAACGGGATGAACTGATTGCAAGTGCAAAGAATGAGGTGTAAGTTGTTTTGTTTTAAAATTTTCTGTTTTTCATCTTTACAGCATTTTTCATGTTGTTTTCATTTTGTTACTTGAGGCTAGTCAGTTAGTAAACCAGTTTTGTTGCTTCTGTAAAATTGCTCTGACAATTCGATTTGCTGTTTTGAAATCAAGAGTTGACTGATGCTTCTTCTTAATTAGCGGAGATTACCATTGCTTAGTTTCAGTGCCCATGATCATCCTTTCTGATACGAATTATCCCCCTCCAGGCTACCATATCTCTTTTAGCTCATCGTTACATCTAAATTAAGATTTTTCGATTGGCTTTTTGCAATCCCTTGGGTACCAGTCAGTCACATCTTAATTTCATATCTATCGCTCTTCCGTCACTGATGCTATTTAGTCCACCGTAGTCTGACTTCTCCAGCACCCGTGGGACTGGGGATGGGCAGTTTTTCAGCTTTATTTTTCATCGCATTTTAGCAACTGCCTTCCACATTATTTTCAACATTTTGGATGCTGTCCATGCTTGCCAGGGTCTCTGTGACACAACTTATGT